TTTGCTTGGTTTACTTGCTGTATTTTCTTCTTTCACGCTCTCAGTTTTCATTGGCTGTTGCAGGAATCCGTTCAGACTGAGTCGTCAACCAGTTTACACTAGATTTCATTCAGAGTCGGTTGGGAAAGTCAAACGTTTGATAAACTCCAATTGGTCTGAAATGCAATAGGGAGGCTGTAATTCTGAGTCTGCGCCCCTCAAACACGACTCGATTCTTTCTCCAACTGTCCACTTCAGTTGACCCAAAAATCTGCAGACTAGAGCCGCCCAGCTCAGACTCAGGATCGGGGCTAAAATCGGGGTAAAAGTCGTGTAGTGTAACCCCGGCTTAAGTTACTGCAAGCACTTGGATCCATGAGCTCTGCTGGTGGGGTTCATGGCTGTTTCTTCTCCTGAAAAGATGCACAATAATGCGACTTGCATGCTAGAGCTGGAGAAACTTCAGACTGCTAAATGTGTGCGAGTGAGTGTGTGTTACTATTAGTAACTATTTCCTATTCAAAGCAACACCTTACTGTTTTTGGCTTGCTTGTTATTTGTAAATACAAATTATACACAATCAATCCTGTTTCTCTAATTCTCACCACAAATGTATTAATTTTGGCCCAAGAGAACTTTTTAGCATACAAAGTATTTAGAAAAACACTGTGTACTGTTTAAAATAAAAGCATATAGTGGGTGTAGTTGGACAGTAAGACAGTTTTCACTCCACACTCCGGCACATTCAATTCGCACTGGAACTGACTTTGAAATCACGAAATATGAAAGTGCAGAATGTCAACTTTAATTTCAGGATATATACATACGTCATAGTCCATTTCTACATAATTCGCCCATTCGGGGGACTGTAATGACAAACGGTGTGTCTCTAATCAAACCTTTTCTTTTTTTTTTGAATGTTTTTTGCCTTAAGCTCAGTTTTAGATCATTTAATTTCACTTTTGCTGCCTGTTTGCTTATTTAGATAAGCCCCTGGGGGTTCTGAGTTTTTTTGTGTGTAAATAAATTTAACCTCAAGCTGCCATCTCACAGTATGAAACCGTGCAGCAGTCATCCACAGAGAGAGTGTAGAGGCAGTTGAGGCTGTCAAATTTCTGTGACACTAGACAGTAACTTCAATTTCACAGTGAACATTCAGAATTATTACCAACAAAGATTCTCAGATTAAAAAAAAAAAATCTCTGCATCTCCTCCTCCAACCCTCCCTCACTGTCTCAAACTGGAGCAAACTCCTAAAAGTCTCACTTGAGGCTGCTAATGTAATTGCTGTTTCCACCCCTAATTTATCTGACCTTATTTTTGCTACCATAACGAGCGACGCATGTTGTCGTAAATGACCCAGAACGTCCACTACCCTGTTACATCACCCTCCTCCTTTTGGCACTCTGTGCTGACATAGAAGAGGCCTCACTGAGACAAAGGCTTTGTCCCCTGTGCTATGTGTGCTCTGAACTACTTACTGAACTGAAGAAACTGCATGTTTAGCGTTTACTCGTACTTCTACTGTCACACTAAACGCCAGCTACCCTTCACATTATGTCATCTTTTTATGATGAATGGATTTGTTCCTAGTAAAAATGACTGTTTTGAAGGTTTTCATTATGAGAATATACACCTATCAGGCATAACATTATGACCACCTCCTTGTCCACTTTATCAGCTCCACTTACTATATAGGTGCACTTTGTAGTTCTACGGTTACAGACTGTAGTCCATCTGTTTCTCTGATACTTTGTTAGCCCCCTTTTACCCTGTTCTTCAGTGGTCAGGACCCCCATGGACCCTCACAGAGCAGGTACTATTTGGGTGGTGGATCATTCTCAGCACTGCAGTAACACTGATGTGGTGGTGGTGTGTTAGTGTATGTTGTGCTGGTCTGAGTGGATCAGACACAACAGAGGTGGTCATAATGTTATGCCTGATCGGTGTATATTTGATATGTACTAGATGTTTGCTACCCAGTTCGAGTCCTTTGGGGACCTGACAGAATATCAGATTTTTCATTTATAACATTGGACACAGTTTATTTATTTCAAATGAGTGATTTTTTGTGTAGTAGATTAGTTTTTATGATTGAAGGAATGTGCTTATGTAAACTTTCCACACTCTCATGCATTTTCTCTCTAGTGTAATCATAAAGTAATGAGGCAGATTTACAAACGTTTTGCACTGTTGCAAAACTTTTGCCGTTGAAAAGTGACTGTTGTGGTTTACCAAACAGGCGCGGTGGAGCTTCAGATATATGGAAAGATCAAAGGGGAGGTCACTGCTCTTCAGTGCTTTCGCCTCATTGATTTACCATAGACATACATACCTAGATGCTGCGGTGTCTGTTGTTCTTTATCTGAGTCGATACGTCTGCGCGTCCGCCATGTTGGAGAGGTCAAGATCTTTGGCTCTGCGGTCCCTGCTTTACTAAAGCTACTCCTTACTTTGTTATTGCCGTGCACTGTGGTTCATGTGTGCGCCGTGGCTTATGGCTAAGTCAGCCATTCTTGGATGAACTGCGTGTAGGTAAGAGTTTATTCTCAAAATCATATAGTTCCCAAACGACCTGCATGTGCTTGGAGAAATTAAACGGAGATTTGCATCGTTTCCAAATGCACTCGACACAGAACTCAAGTTCCGCTCATACCACCAGACAAAAATGCGCATTATGAAAGAAAAAAAAATGTTGCTTAATTTTGTCACATTTCTGACAAATTTTGCTCAAAATAATTAGAAAATCAACGAGTAATGATCCCTTTTTTCAGAGTTAGTCATTATTCTGTCAAAATATTGAGATAGTTGCTGCGTTCCAAAGCCGAGGCTGCAGCCAAGGTAGTGCGGGTCCTGCTATGGATACTCCTCCTTAGTAGCCACACAGATGGAACAGTCCTAACGAGGCTGCAGCCGAACACAAAGTTACATCGGTCTTCATTTGCATGGAAGTTCTCAGCGGATAAACTGCTAAACTGTCTGCACCCACCAGTACAAAGTGTCGGTGGACTGTTGGTGATTAGGTCCTCTTTTACTAAATCTGCCACATAGTCTACAGCTGCGTTTGGAATAGCTTCTGTGTTTGAGGAGCGACGAGTGCCTCTCAACTGATCTACTAATCTAGGGATGAGGTTCATCAGTACATCAGTGTTGCCAGATTTCAGGGGTCCTGCCAAATTGGGTGGATTTTGGTTGGATTTGGCAGGAGAAAAAGTGCGTTGGCAGGTGGACAGAATTTGGCCTGGTTTGTCATTATTTTGTCGGCTTAAAAAAACATATTAAACTAATAAACTGCATTACTTAATAATACAGCTCAAATTTGAATAGGACTATCTTGCCCTCCCCCCATCTGTATCGTCTGCGAACAACATAAGCATTTAACGTACACAGTTTATTATTGACGATGATGTGCTTTCAGGCTGAACACATCATAGATTATCCAGTTCACATGGACTTACTGACTGTACAGAGTTCTGCAGTACTGGTGTGGACCGTGATCTGTTCAGCTTAGCCTGTAATGGTTATAGCTATAATAGTTAGGCTTGCAGTGTTATTGCTATTCATTGCCTTTCTGACTACATGGGTTCATGAGTCCTGTTGGATACATACATACATACATCATCTAAACCGCTTATCCTTCTGGGTCGCGGTGGGGTGCTGGAGCCTATCCCAGCTGTCATTGGGCAGAAGGCAGGATACACCCTGGACAGGTCGCCAGTCCATCGCAGGGCAGACAGACAGACACACACACACACACACTCACACCTAGGGGCAATTTAGCACGTCCAATCGGCCTGACTGCATGTTTTTGGACTGTGGGAGGAAACCGGAGTACCCAGAGGAAACCCACGCAGACACGGGGAGAACAGGCAAACTCCACACAGTAATGACCCTGGTCGCCCGGCCGGGAATCGAACCCAGGCCATTCTTGCTGTGAGGCGACAGCGCTACCCACTGCGCCACCGTGCCGCCCCTATTGGATACAATGCATTCAAATTTTTTGATTTTTTAGAAACATAGTTTTCTAGAAACATTTTTGGCAGCTCAGCAAGTTTACTTAAAAAGCTTTACGTTAAAAGCTTTTGGTTCTGTAAAACTGTATTAACACTTTTTTGCAGCTGCCCACATCGCTAACGTGTTGTTACTTAGCTCCTACACATAAATTGCTTTGACGATACGGTATTGGTATCGATGCAACTCTAGGCAGCACCCTAACTACACAACTCGGCAGCTCTTTGAGATGTACGTATAGTCACACCATGGATGGTGAGAGGGGTATGTTAGGTTGGTGGAAAGGTCACAGAGGATCTTTCCCCTAAGCTCCTCCGAAGTTTGATAAGCATTTCTGCGAGTAGCAGCAGTAGCAAGAGAAACGGTAACACTGGAGTTAACAGTTGAAGCTCTCTGCCATTTACAATTCAGCAAACACATGAAAATAGTGATAATAAATGCTGTTAGTGTTTTACCAAAGTGCAAAATGAAAAAAAGTTCATCCCAGCTTCACATTTTCTGCCAGTAAATTGAAACTCTTAGTGATGAAACAAACCACTTTAAAGCCAAGCTGATCATTTCTATGAACAGGTCAGGTTTGGGTTTCAAATTTAGCAGTACCAGTCGGGGGTACGAGTTATTCTCTATCTGACTGTGGGAATAATTCTAATATCTCGAAATTAATGTTTGTGTTGCTGGAATCTTAATTGAGGCTTTCTTTCCTTATTTCCTGCTGGCTGTGCCTTTTTTAAATGACATGTTTTAAATAGCAGTTTTTAGCTGTCTGCAGAGGTCAAAGGGCTAAGGGGGCTAACAAAGTATGCAGAGAAACAGATGGACTACAGTCTGTAACTGTAGAACTACAAAGTGCACCTATATAGTAAGTGGAGCTGATAAAATGGACAATGAGCGTAGAAACAATGTTATGCCTGACCGGTGTATGAGAAGTGTATCAGTGGTAAAACTCAGCAAAGCCAGTTTGAATCAGTGTAAACTGTAATGAAAGTAAATGTGTATTCCTTTCTCCTCAGATGGCCACAGAGGTGCTGGAGGGCCTACTAGAGGAGGACGATGAGGTTGTTCAGGTAAGTGAATTAATAAAATGTACTGAATTTGTGAAAATACCACACAAATAGTGTGAATATTTAATGGTAATAAGACCAAGAGAAAAGGTCCAAATTACTTGTGCTTATAAATTCCTTCTTCTAAAGCTTTAAAAGTCAAGCAAGTCTTAATTTCCTTTATTAATTTGTCCTTAAAAAGTCTCACTTTTGGAACTGTTATGTGTTCGTGTTAAAAATCTAAGTACTAGAGGTCATTTTTTTTGATGCTTATAAAAAAATGCATTTCCTCTGTAAAAGCTAAAACGTGTGCATAGTCTCAGACAACATACAGGGCTGTGCAGAAGTCAGAGACCACCCTTCATTTCGTACATTTTGTAGGAAAAGATAATCCACTTTGTTAAGAAAGGGGGATTCACACAAGCAGGTACTATTTGGGTGGTGGGTCATTCTCAGCACTGCAGTAACACTGACGTGGTGGTGGTGTGTTAGTGTGTGTTGTGCTGGTACGAGTGGATCAGACACAGCAGTGCTGCTGGAGTTTTTAAACACTGTGTCCACTCACTGTCCACTCTATTAGACACTCCTACCCTGTCAGTCCACCTTGTAGATGTAAAGTCAGAGACGATAGCTCATCTGCTGCTGCACAGTTTGTGTTGGTCATCCTCTAGTCCTTCATCAGTGGTCACAGGACGCTGCCCACAGGACGCTGTTGGCTGGATATTTTTGGTTGGTGGACTATTCTCAGTCCAGCAGCGACACTGAGGTGTTTAAAAACTCCAGCAGCACTGCTGTGTCTGATCCACTCAGACCAGCACAACACACACTAACACACCACCACCACGTCAGTGTTACTGCAGTGCTGAGAATGATCCACCACCCAAATAGTACCTGCTCTGTGAGGGTCCATGGGGGTCCTGACCACTGAAGAACAGGGTAAAAGGAGGCTAACAAAGTATGCAGAGAAACAGATGGACTACAGTCTGTAACTGTAGAACTACAAAGTGCACCTATATAGTAAGTGGAGCTGATAAAATGGACAACGAGCGTAGAAACAAGGAGGTGGTCATTATGATATACCTGATCGATGTATAATATAGAGGATGAATTGTAGTCCATGCTTCTGTTTGTTTTCACCCTGTGTGTGTGTGAGAGAGAGATTGATGGGCAGAAAGATGACGGATTGTATGTTAGCATGTGCTAGCTAGTACATCTTTGGTTACTTGTTGGAATCAGGGAGCTGCGTGTGATTAAGTCCTGTGTGTCGTCTCTTTCTGTTGTGGCTGCAGTTTGGCAGCCGCTTCTTTAATGGGCCTCTATTTTCAGTGGGCTTGACAAGTGGTGCTGACATTCAGTGCAGCAGACGGCTGGATAAATAATGTATGTATGGAGACCTGCTGGAATAGAGTTTGTGCGAAAGCTCCCGGCTCCTCAGTTTAGCTCATCAGCCATGGAAATTATGAACGCTGCAGCAGAACTGACTGATAGCACTGCTGACACATCATGCAAAGCGCCATGCTGAAATAATTCACATACATGCTTTTAAGTAAATATGACTTATATGACTGCATATACACACACACACACACACACACACACACACGCACACACACATATATATAGGGGTGGGAATCTCTAGGCACCTCACGATTCGATTCGATTACGATTCAGAGGCTGCAATGCGATTATAAAACGATTATCGATGCGTCTTGATGCATTTTTTTCTATACAGGATTTTTTTTTTTCTCACTTTGTGAGGACTTGGTAGTTTTAAAACAAAGTATTTGTAATGATCCATAATGAATTTACTTCCAATATCTTTTATTAATAAAACAAATGGAAGTGAAGTGGCAAATGAACTGGAAGGCTCTCATTCACTGCTCTTATTTGGAGCACATGAGACGCTGGCTGCCACTCATCTGTGATAAAATGTGCAGTTATGGTGAAGTAAGATTGTGTGGCAGTGGATGTCCAACGCAGCAGATTACAGCTGTCCTCCCTGTTTTCTTCAGTGGTTCTATAACTTCGGTTTCGGTCTCGTTGTAGAGAGTTGGGGGGAGGGGTCACCGTGTCAGTTAAATATCTTCGAGACTGGACGCTGAATCTCCGTATCCAAAGTGTGCAACTACTTGAACTGGTTCTCAACGACTGAGAACAGAGGCAGATCCTTGGCAGTAAAAATTGCGACAGTGTTTGTAATTCGCTTCGTCCTTTCCGAGTTGGGTGAAAGCTTCAACAACGTTGCTCGATGGTTCTCGGGTTGGAAGCAAGTACGACTTGACAGAAAACAGGTGGAAACGTAATATCGTTTCTCATATTTGTCATTTCCAAACTATTTTTGTTTCGTGTCACACAGCCAGCATGTAGTATGGCTCTTATCCAGGTCCCTTTTCCTGTCTAGCTAGTAGCTAACGAAGCTGCAAAGAGACGTTTTAGACGAACACTTGGAGATGAATGGACTTATTCGCATTTATAAGAGCACAGTTGGTTCCCTGGGACGTTAAATCTGCAACGAGAGACTGTCAAACACTAAAAAGTTGCGAAGATGAAGTCGCTTCTCTTTCTAATTTTCCCAGTCCACCTAGGTTCGAACAAGAAGCTGACGAATGAGAAGCGACTTCAGCCTCATAAAAACAGTCGAATGCTGAGAGACATTTTACAAGAAACTGATCTACTTTTGAGGAAAAGTTTGCTTGAGATGGGAGGAAAGCGGCTATAGCTAAAGCTTAAAGCAGAGCAAAGTAAGTCTGCGTTTTCATTCCTATACTGCGACATCATTACATACTGAGACATACTGGACATTAAACATTGCGGCTCCAAAGGTGGTTTGATTTTTGTTAAAAGGACAAAATGGCTCTTCTTATCATTTGTGTTGTGACTCCTGACCTAACCTGGCTTTAATGCAGAGGGAGCCGGTCGGATTTCTCGCTCACCCAGTTGTGTTTTTGTTATGTGCCGCCACAGACTGTCCGGGCGCTGCACTTCCAAATTCCGTCTTTTGCGTTCCGTCAATGTTATGTCCACGTCCGCGTCACGATGCATCTGAGAATCGTTTTATCCCCCCACCCGTAATATATATATATGACTGTTGTCATAAGAAAACCTTGTATCTCCAGAATGGTAACTTTACAGGAGAAGGAAAAAAACCTACTTTACTTTTAATGTAAGTCAATGGAACCAGACTTTTTTCCAAGTCATTTTGGGCTGTTTCCTTTAGTCCATTCATCATGAAAATTTCACACAATGTAAAGAACAACAGGTATTTTCAAATTATGTCAAAAACTGAAAAACTTTTTCTTCCGACAGCAGCGATATACATATATATATATATATATATAATGTGTATATTAATAGTCATATATGTTTTGTTGGTTTTTTTTAAGTTAAAACAAGTTAACACATCTGCTTCAGAGAACACAAAGTGCACAATTACTGATTATTTGCTAAATTAAACATATTGTGGCCTGTACAAAAGTTATATATAATTTTTTCTGATATGTTAAATTTAGTAACAAAAATGGAAATTGTACCCTAAAAAGTGTAGAAAAATTGATAAAAATCCAGAGATTACTTAAAGCTACACCATGTAAGATCTGGGGATTTGGAGACCTCTCTGGTGGAAATGTGTAAGTGCACACAGTGTAACACAGGTTATGCTTCGGGGCCCTTCCCCGACGGGACGAGTCTGATGATTGTGAGTGAGCTGAGTGTTCAAAGAGACTTCAGTCAAAGCTTGGTGAAGGACGTGTCTTCTGAGGATGTGAGTGAATGATCTAATACAGTCACCATGTCCTCATCAGTATAATGTTGATTTTGCGTTTGAGACCTAAACATCAAGACCTTCTTCTCTGTTTGTGACAGATTTGTAAATTGTAAAGTCATATGGTCCAAAAAACTCCCATGAAATCTGACCCGACGCCTCTTACTCTTAGCTTATTGTTTCAGGCTGTACAGGGTGACTGTAGCTGAGGCGCTGATGCTGAGAGAGGTTTACACCAAGCCCACTTTTTACTGCAGATTTGATGAATCGCTCAGTCACTCGCTGTGCTAAATCATTGTTACATTAGAAGTGTTACTTGTCTGTCTAGCGTCTCCCTGAGCGCCTGTTTTGTCGTGCTAATGATGCAGTGTTCTTGTCAGAAGAAGTTCTAGTCTGGGCCTCCGTTCGGTGATTGATCTTGCGTTGTGTCTAGCTGTGTGTGTGATGTGTAAAAAGTCATAAAATCTGTGTCTCTGCCTCCTCCTTAACACCGCCACCAAGAGCACGCTTCATAAATCAGCCGCACTCCTCCGTTCCCCACATCCATTTCTTTCATAACTAGCACCTTTTAGCTCCACCAGCTGGTGGGGAAATCTGACTGATAAGGCCGTTGCTCAGTGGATGCGCCGCATCGTGCAGCGTCACATAGCAGAGAACTGCTATACAATGCATGTAGCGAGAGCGCCGCAAAAACGGCAGGTTCATTTTTACACTCGTAGAAATTTAACGAAAAAAACTTTTTGCATCCGTTCATTGCCTCCTCACACACTCGGTGTTCGAGCTGAAAGATACAAGGTTAAAAAACTAGACTAGACTAGTATCAGTAGCTTAAAGGTAAACTACCTTTAGCATTTGTCTTTATATGTTAAAGACTGACTGCCTTTCTCTGTTTGCGTTTTAAGCCACAGGTGATCTACTGTGGCTTTCTGTGGTCTCGATATGGCTTGAATTTAATGTAGTAATGGAAAAATGCTGAGTGCTGTGATGCACTGAGAAACTGAACAATTCCCAGAGTCGTCAAGTGCTGGCGAGCATCAACACGGAATATCGGCACCGGTGTGAATATATGGCCATTTTAGCTTTTAATCCTTTTTTCTTGATATCAGGAATTCAATTTTCACATGTGAAAATTTAGCTCTTGCTAGTAAAAACTGATTTTTTGATATCAAGAATTCAGATTTTACTAGTGGAAATTAAATTTTCACATGTGTAAATTGAATTCCTGATATCAAGGAAAAAAAAATTAAAAGCTAAAAGGGCTTGC